TTTCTTTTGTCTGAGATAGTGATTGTTACCCATGCCTTCTTTAATTCAGAAGCATATTAGATTCTGCTCCAGCTCTCTAACCCTTCGTTTTAACTGCACGTGTCTTTCTGTTTCAAGGGTGTCTCTTGTAAATAACATATTGTTAGATTCCGGTTTTTAATCCTTTCTGCTATCTGTTTCTGTTTTATGGATGAGGTCATTCCATTCACACTCACAGTTACAATTACTGTTTATTCCTTGCAATCCCATCATCTCCTGTTTCTCTCTCTCTCTCTCTCTCTCTCTCTCTCTGTATATATATGTATATACACACACATATATATATATATACACATATATACATGCATACATACATACATATATATATATAATCCTGTCCCTCCTCAAAAGTTTATTTTGCTTCTAACCCATGCCTCCCTTAGTCTGCCTTCCCCTTCTCTTATTCCCTTTTCCTTTCTATTTCCCTATTGAGTAAGTAATATTTCTATACACAACTGAGAGGGAAGTATATATGTATATATATTATATATATGTATATACACACACACATAAAACACACATATGTATAAGTATATATATTTCCTCCTATGAACCATTTCCGATGACAGTGAGGTTCAAGCATTGCCTGACACCCCCACCTCATTTTCTCTTTAATTGTACAAGCTTTTCCTTGTGTGTCTCTTTGATGTGAGAAAATTTTCACCATTCTACTTCATTCTACTTCACCCTTCCTCCTGTCAGACCTACTTTGGGGGTCTGCAAATTTTTGGTGTTTCCAAAATGCTGTGATCCTTGGAGAAGTATGGTTACTACTCTGTTCTGATCCTTACCATGGAAGGGCCCCTGATCCCCTTTAGCTGCTTATGCTAGTACTCCTTTCCACCTTGGCACTGAGACCAGGGCCTCTACTCTCCTGTGACTGACCTCCAGTGATCCTCTCTGTTCTAGAACAGTGACCTAGAACTACATTTAGGCAATATAGTTCCCAATCAGTACCAGCTACACCTAGCACAAGCAAAGTGTCCCCTGTAATCTTTTTTTTTTGGGCAGTTGTCCAACTTCTTCATTATCTCTGGGCTTAGACCTCCCAAAGCTGCTGCTACTATTGTTATTGCAGCTACTGTTGTCCTCGCCTCCCGTATGGGCTCCTGACAGATCTCCATCAAACCTCCATCCTAGTGTTATAGACTTCTCCTGCATAACTCTTAAGTTTTCTTAGGCCTGTAAAATATTTCCCCCCAACTTTTTGTTGGCTCTGCCACTCCAAAATTTGATTAGAATCAATATATTAAAGTTGCTTGGAGGGGAATGTTGGAAGAGTTCAGCTGGATAGCTGCCCCTAATCCTCCATTTTGGCTCTGTTCACTTGCCCACTTTTTCTATCACCAATAATGCCTTGCTGAACTTCAACCATGGATTACTCCATCTGGCTCCTATGCTCTATATGTACTGCTAAGTAGAGCTGGAGAAAATCATGAATAAACTGTGCTGACTGGGTCCACTACAAATTTGTGACATAATCTCAACTAGGTCTTCACTGCAGCAAGGCAATATTTTTGCACTTCTTTATTTGATTCCCTTTCTGCCATACCACAGCACTATTTCTAGATATTCTTATCTTTCCTCAAGTTCCCCACGGTATTCCCTCCCCCATCTTCTCGGCATCATATTTTACTTAAAAATGTTAAGTTTATTTTCTAAGAGCTTCCCCTTCTCAAATCCTCTTGCTCTCACATCATTCAAACATCTCTTACTATCTGGTCCTTCACATCTGTTTCAGATAAATAGATACATCTTTTTGCTCTTGCCAAGGAAAATCCTCAACATGAACCCATCTCCTTTAGCAAATTTCTTTTACAGGCATTCTCACTTTCTCTCAAATCTTCAGGCTATCCCTATTGACTGTGTTAACTTCTTCTCTGCTGCCTATTGTCTCATGTCTCTCCCATTTTTAAAAACAGAACAGAACAAAACAAAACAACACAACACAAAACACCTCACTTGATTTGACCATCCCTGCTAAGTGCAGTCCTACATCTCTCCTCCCCTCATGAGAACAGGGAGCTCAGGACCGACATTTCATTTCCCATCTGATTGCAGTACTTTGGGACTTCACTGACTTCTCCACCAAGCCTCAGGAAGCTCATCATTGGGAAAACCTCATTATTCTGCAAGGTCCAATGAGCCTTGGTATTCATACCTTATGACTACCCTCTGACTCTCTGATTGAAGGGTGAAGTCATGAATTCCAAAGGCCCAATTTAAGGAGGGGGCTCAGAACAGACGTCTTATCTCATTTCTCACCTGTTTGCACTATTATGGGATTTCTCTGACAACTCCACCATACTCCCCCCGACCCAATTTCCCGTACTGCCATGTGTCCACCTGTTCTTCCTCCCCACATTTTCAGCTTCCTTCTGTATGCTGTCTTCTCTTATTAAATTGTAAGCTATTTGAGGTCAGGGACTATCTTTTTTCTTCGTATCTTCATTGCTTAGAAAAATGCCTGGCACATAGTAATGTGCGAGTAGTGAATAAATATTTATTGACTGTTGCCTTCTTTTTTTCTCCCACAATTTTATTTTCAGTTCAAAATTTTACCCCTTCCCAACTCATTGAAAAGGCAAGAAAAACAAAGTCCATTAAAACACATATATTTATATACATACAACACACATATACATATATGTATGTGTGTATGTATGCATGCATGCATGCATGTATGAATGTAACGTGTTCCAGTCTGCTATCAGCTCCCTTTCCAAAGTTGAATAGCTTTTTTTTTATCATGAATCTTTGGAATTGTGGTTGTTCCCTGGGTTGATCAGAGTCATTAAGTCTTAAAATTGATCATCTTTGTAATATTTTTGTTGTTATGAAAAGTATTCTCCTGGTTCTGCTCACTTCACTTAGCATCAATTCATGCAAGTCTTCCTAGGTTTTTCTGAAGCCATATCCTTCATCATTTGTTAGAGTACAATAATTTTCTATCACATTCATTTATCATAATTTGTTCAGCCATTCATCAATTGATGGCTATTCCCTTAGTTTCCAGTTCTTTGCCAACATAAAAAGAGCATCTATAAATATTATTGCGTTTATAAGTCATTTTCCTATTACTTTGATCTCTTTGGGGTATAAACCTAGTAGCAATATTTCTGGGTCAAAGAATATGCATGGTTTAATAGACTTTTGGGTATAGTTCCAAATTAGTTTCTAGAATGGTTGGTTTTACAGCTCTACCAAAAGTACATTAAAGCACTTCTTTCCTTGTAGTCCCTTCAGCATTTGTCATTTCCCTTTTTTCTCAACTTAGTCAATAATATGGGTATGAGGAGGCACCTCAGAGTTTTCTTTTAATGTTAATTTCTTGAATCATTAGTGATTTAGAGCATTTTTTTATATTGCTATTGATAGCTTGGATTTCTTTCTCTAAAAACTGCCTATTCAGATCTTTTGACCATTTATCAATTGAAAAACAGCCTTTATTCTTATAAAGTTGACTCAGTTACTGACATATCTTAAAGATGAGACCTTTGATAGAAAAACTTGCTGTGAATGTCTCTCTTCTCCCCAACAATTTCCTGCTTCTCTCTCTCTCTCTTTTTTTTTGGCAACGAGGGTTAAGTGACTTGCCCAGGGTCACACAGCTAGTAAGTGTTATGTGTCTGAGACTGGATTTGAACTCAGGTCCTCCTGAATCCAGGGCCGGTGCTCTATCCACTGCCCCCCCCCACTTCTCTTCTAATTTTAGCTGCATTGGTTTTATATGCATAAATTTTTTAAAAAATTGTGTAATCAATATCATCCATTTTACCTCCTGTGAGCCTCTATATCTCTTGTCTGGTCATGAGCTCTTCCCTTATTCAAAGATATGACATGTAATTTCTTCCATGTTCCATTAATTTGCTTATAATGCCATCCTTTATATCTAAGTCATGCACATATTTGGAGCTTATCATTGTTTATGGAGTGAGATGTTGGTCTATACCTAGTTTCTGCAGACTATTTTCCAGATTTTCCAACAGTTTTTGTCAAATAGTGAGTTCTTGCTCCAGTGACTGGGATCTTTGAGTTTATGAAACACTAGGTTACTATATTCATTTGCTTCTGTATATTGTATACCTAATCTATTCCACTAACCAACCTATTTTTTTAATCTAGTACCAAATTGTTTTTTTATAATTACAGCTTATTAATATAGTTCAAGATCAGTGACCACTAGATCTCCTTCCTTCCCATTTAAAAATATTCCTTTGATATTCTTAATCTTTCTTTCCTCCAGATAAATTTTATTATTTTTTTCAAGCTCTATAAAGTAATTATTTGGTAGCTTGATTGATATGACATTGAATAATTAATTCAGGTAGCATTGTCATTTTTGTTATATTAGCTCAGCCTACTCATGAACAACTAATATTTCTCCCATTATGTAGATCTTCTTTTATTTGTACAAATAGTATTTTGTGATTGTATTCAGATAGTTCCTATGCTTATCTTTGCTTTTAGATGCCCAAGTATTTTATACTGCCTAAAATTATTTTAAATGGAAATTCTTTTTTTATCTCTTCTTACTGAATTTTGTTGGTAGTATATAGAAATGCTGATGATTTGTATGAATTTATTTTATGTCCTGTAACTTTGCTTAGGTTGTTAATTGTTTCCATTACTTTTTAGTTGACTCTCTAGGGTTCTCTAAGTGAACCTTTATATCATTTGCAAAGAATGGTTATTTTGTTCCCTCTTTGCCTATGTTTATTCCTTTAATTTCTTTTTCTTATCTTATTGCTATAGCTAGCATGTCTAGAACAATGTTGAACAGTAATGGTGATAATCCACATCCTTGTTTCACTCTTGATCTTATTGGAAAGCTTCTAACCTGTCCCCATTATATATAATGTTAGCTCTTTGTTTTAAATGGATTCTACTTACCATTCTAAGGAAAGCTAAATTATTCATTTGCTTTCTAGTGTTTTTTTTTTTTAAACTGGAATGGGTAATTGCTTTGGCAGCACATATACTAAAATTTGAAAGATACAGAGAAGATTAGCACGGCCCCTCCCCAAAGATGACACAGAAATTTGTGAAGCATTCCATATTTTATTGTAACTCCTAAGAACTTTATTATTTTTAGGGCAATTAGAAGGAGTATACATAGACAAAGGGCACAGGTATGAGTTGTCTATAATGATATGATTCCAAAAAAATTAAATTAAGGGGTGAAAAAGAGGGATGAATTGGGAAAAGGTGGAAGAGAGAGGAAAAACTGGGGGAAATTATATTAAAAAGGTGCAAAAAGAAGAGCTTTTATAATGGAGGAGAAGATGGAGAGGTGAGCAACATTTGAATGCTACTTCTCATCAGAATTTTCTCAAAGAAGGAGTAACATACACACTCAATTGGGTACAGAAATCTATCTTACTCTACAGGGAAGTATGAGAGGAAGGGGAAAAGAGAAAGAGAAAGGGATTGATAGAATTGAGGTAGTTGTTGGAAGCAAAACAAACTTTTGAGGGGGGATGGTGTAAAAAGAGAGAGTAAAAAGGATAAACAGGAAAAATATGATGGAAAGAAATACACAGTTATTTATCATACTGTGAAAGTGAATGGGAAGAATTCACCCATAACAGAGAAGTTGGATAGCAGAATGCATTAAAAACCAGAATTCAGCAATATGTTGTTTATAAGAAACACCTGAAATACACACACACACACACACACACACACACACACACACACACACA